CATTTTCTTAGTGTAATCAGTTAATATTGCCAGCGCTATGACTTTTAAGATTTTTCTACTAAAACATTATTACCTTTTACAAACTCTTCGATTTTACAATATGCTTTTTTTACAAAGAAATTGTTTTTTAAACTACTTAAAGACTATAGGTAGACTTTGTACAAAATCTACCTTCATAAATTACCCAAATATCTGCTCTGAATAAATTTTAGTCGTCAATTACGCATGCAGAAGTATAATGTTATTTTAGGCAGGTCGGGACCTGTGACGTCATGGGTAACGAATCGTGACGTCAGAGATTTAATGTAGCGTTAGAAATGCTAGTACCAGGACAACCAAGCTTCGCTCGCCTGTCTTTATTGTAAAGTTATATTTGTCTATAAAAGCCGACTAATGACGAGTAACAACCCGAAAAATGTAAAATGAAAGGATCTTAAACAAATTTGATACGAAGATAGATTGTAACGATGATGAACATATGTCTAACTTAATAAAATACATAAATTCGCGGTTAACAGCTAGTATGCTGTAGCACTATAATTATTAATTATATATACATTTTATTTAATCTTTTTTAATCGTTTGTTTGTTTTTTATATTGTTACATTGTGAAAAGCACTGAATAAATATTTTAATATAGCAAAAGATTGGATATGCTTGTTTTCTAAAAATGCCAAATACCCTATAATATAGCAGGATATGCTTGCAGGTGGGTCTATAGCTGGCTGCGCAGTTTATTAAGGGTTTTCCAAAAATGCCAGATACCCTATAATGTAGCAGGATGTGCTTACAGGTGGGTCTCTACCTGGCTGCGCAGTTTATTAAGGATTTTCCAAAAATGCTTGATACCCTATAATGTAGCAGGATGTACTTGCAGGTGGGTCTCTACCTGGCTGCGCAGTTTATTAAGGATTTTCCAAAAATGCCAAATACCCTATAATGTAGCAGGATGTGCTTACAGGTGGGTCTCTACCTGGCTGCGCAGTTTATTAAGGATTTTCCAAAAATGCTTGATACCCTATAATGTAGCAGGATGTACTTGCAGGTGGGTCTCTACCTGGCTGCGCAGTTTATTAAGGATTTTCCAAACATGCCAATACAGGTCGCGCCAGTACGAACGAATAGCTAATAATTTTTAACGTTCAAAATCAACAAATAACTATTACAGTGGAATGAAACACGCAATATGCCTTCTACAATAGCTTTGAGCACGCGACTGTACAACGAAAGAAAACTTAAAAATAAATAATGCATAACATTTTATTAAGGGTTCCGTATAAATTTACGAGGACACTATTGTTATAAATCAGAGAGTTTGTTACATAATAACGATTGAACCGCTAAATGAATCTTAATGAACTTTTACGTGAAGATAGATTGTGTTATGAGGACGAACATAGGCTATTTTTTATTTTTAATATAGAAGTCGATAGTTAATAAATTACGCTAGACAAATGATATAGCGCCATCTAGTTTTTTATACAAGCAAAGTCCAAAGTCCATATGGTACGGTACTAAATCACAAATATACACACTTAAAAATCTGTTTTTAATACACATTAACATATATAATATCCACGAATATATAATTCAGACATTCATTCATGAATTAATATAAATCTTTTTATTGTGTAGGAATAAAACCCGCGACCGTCAGAAAGCAATAAAATGACCGCAAGACAACTAGTTAGAAGTTAATTTATATTACAAAACTAATTTCCTACATCCTTCCAACACTACACTACTTGATGCAATAAACTTAATGAACTCGCCATCTCTAAACTCAACTCTAGTTTCATATACGATTCATGCAACTACATAGTTTCATAATGCAAAGTAGGCTTTAGAGACGGCAACTATATTAAACAACATTGGAAATGGAAGTCTAATATTAAGACAAGAAGCACCTATTTGGGTAATTTGTTTTTTTTTTTAATAGGTAATAGAAGTAGTAACAATAATCTCAGGACAGTTCACACGTATACAGCGTAAAAAACCAACAAAAGCTAAGTTAATAAGACAACAATGAGAATAATGGTAATAATCTCAAGACAGCTCACACAGCGCCATCTAGACCCAAGTTAAGCGAGCTAAAATTTATGTGTTTGTGTGATAATGAATAGAATAGAATGGAAAAGAAAATCAAATAAACTTAAATGGAAGCATTAAAATGCTAAGTTATATTACAAAAGGATGATATTTCAATATGGATTTGTTGAAAATATTTCAGAACATCCACTATCAATGTCAGTCTGTTTGACTTGAAAAGGTCTAAGAAATCTGAATTTACAATGAAATTTGAGTGTTGCACTTGTGGGAAGATTAAATATGAAGATGAATGTACCGTCGTGAGATTTTAATGGAAGCAATAAAATAATCATAACATATTTTTTTAATCTACCGCTCAATCGGAAAGCTGTCTCATTACAAGAAGAACAAATGGAATGGTGCAAACGCCTGCGCTAACAGTTTACACTGGGAAAGCACCAGCGGAGGCGTATAAGATGAGCATGAGGTCAGTTAAACCATCGTTCTCTAGGAATTTATTACGATAGTTTCTAGGATAAACAGTGGAGGTCAACCTGATATGGTACATAGCTAGCCATTTAGTAGAGAGTAGAGCAGAACGTGATTGCTTATGGCAAAATTTCGATAGAAAGTATCGCTATTTGGGTGACCAGAGACGGTGACTTGGTGACTTGGTGACTGAGATGGTGATACTTGGTCTTCTACATAGACATCTGTAGATTTTGGTCTTCTACAGTTTCACAGTCTTCTACGGTGCTTCACATTATGGAGTTAATTTCGATATTTTTTTCAAATTAAATAAAAAATAATTATTTAATTTGATATTTTTTTGTAATATTTTTCAAATCTCAAATTAAATCATTCTTCTATATAATATTAAGTTACTAATGTAATTCATTAAATCAAAATCTATGTTTGGTTTAGGAGAGGTAAGTAAAGAAACAGATAGACAAAAACATCGACTTTGCCTAATACCTAATTATATTTAGAAGTATAATTACTGCAGATTTGCTACACATTTTGCCCTCCAGATATTATTATAATGATAAATTAAAAGAAGCTTTAGGTTGTTTAAATATAGCCATCACAAAGCGTTGAACGAACATTTAATACAAAATTACAAATAATTCCTTAAAGAGGATTCACGTATTTCATTGAAGAAAAAAGAAGCTTAATTTTAATAAGTATTTGAAGAGGAAACAAAACGCCTGCGTTTTATTAAAGACTAATAGTCGATCTCATCTTCGCTCGAGTGCTTATAACGTTGTGAATTTTGTAAGCATTAACATATATGACTTATATATATAAATATATACTATATATATATATATATATATATATATATATATATATATATATATAGTAAATGACGATGAATCTATAAATACATTCAGTAAACCAGCAGTGGACGTCTTCCGGGCTGCGATGATGATGAAACCAGTAATTAGTCATAACATAAATAAAAACAGAAAGAACAATGAAGAGTGACAAGATACATATGTAACAATTCTATATAAAAATAATTTAAATGTAAAAAAAGTCATTCAAAATTAATACATAGAATAAATATTATAAGATATCTAACTGAAGAACTAAGACCGCTCCTAGAAAATTGTATTGTATGAGTGTAAACACTATATTGCAACGTTAAACCAAAGTAATATCTTAAAAGAATTCTTACATAAAATTATTAAAAAACTACTTAATAGTAGTAATATAATTTAAAAAATAAAATAGAAATTAGTATGAAAATCGTAATGCAAAAACCAGATTAAAATTGTTCATCAAAATTTTTCTTATCTCTAACTCAGAGCGATGTCATTCGAGTTTGCAAGCAACTTTCTTGGGTTGATTTTATTACTTTAAAAGGACGATTACACTTTAAGGAATTTTATCGATGTTTTATCTATGCCACGAAGATTATATAATATGTAATAAAAGCGTAACTTTTGAGGTTATTTTTATAAAATTCTTTTTATTTCCACTGATATTAAATGCTGCCATTGTCACTTTTTTCTATTTAGTTTAATGTTGTCTATCTTTCAGTTTAAATTTAGAATATAATATTTATAAACCTTAACTTAGAACAAAATGACATTATAATGAAAATAAGTTACCAATTTATGAACGATTTTTTTTCAAAACAATTACTCGCATAGATTTATTTTGCCTTGCTTATAACAGAAATAATGTTTGTAATTCTGAAATTACTACTTTTTTAAAACCTTTGTAGGTCAATACATGCTTTTATTACATACATGATTAGATTTTTACAACAAATAATAGATGTAGTAAATATTAAAATTTAAATCACAATTAACATAACTGAAACTCTTTTATTAAAATTAACAACTTCACCATCTAATGCCCGAAGAAAAATACATTACTGGCTGAAATAAAAAAAAAATACAATTCACCATTTTATAATTCTCGCCAATTTTTTAAGAGACTACAGAAATAAAATAATCTAGTAAATCCGATACCTATAAGTAAACGATAGAAAAAAGAAGTGGTTTCGGTGTCACACAATTTTGTTTTATGACACCAAAAATTTATGATTGTGCAGCAAATTGAAGCATAAAAAATAAATGGCTCCGGACATAATATAGAGCGTGATATAGTCTCAAACTACGCAGGACTTGAGCAATAGATGCTACAAAACGAATAGATATATACTCATGAATACAAATGCATGTTTTGTGCTGGGAATGAACCAGCAAAATATTGAATGACGAGGCAGTATGTTAAACTAAATACCGAACCATCAAGATCTTTATATACATAAAGAAAATTATCTTATTTTTTTTATGGACATTTCACACAACGCCATCTAGACACGACCAGGGGCGTCGGGCATTGTAAGTGTTGCATTCACAGAGACGTAGATTTTTCACAGTGCTCCTACCATCAAGTTCACAGGCGTAAAGTTATTTTTATTTATTGTAATTAAACTTAATGTTAAAAAATATTACCTCCACATGTTTCCCGAAAATCAGGACAACAGTCTCCAAGTTTCAAGCACGCGTGGTCACAGTAGCAGGGTTTATCCGTCAAGTCTTCTATAATAGCATTCTGGTGGGCCTTTTGCACGACACAGGAGCTATCTCTCCCGGGACAACAAAGATTAGCATCTCTGCAGTAATTCGCGCCACAATGTCCGGCCAAACAGACCGCACTAGCAAAACACAACCAGTACCGAAGCATTTTGGCGCGTAAAAAAAAGTAAAAAGCTACGGAAATACACTGTACAGCCAAAGAGAACTGAATGGGATTCTTTTTTTCTTTTTACCAAACTGCACCGAAAAGGTTATGATTCAAATTCACGAAAATGGAATCGTGTTTCAGTCCACTGACATTCCGAATTAGAACGCCGACGTCCGTTGACCGTTTCGTTCTGAAACAAAATAAAAATATCATTGTTTTTTCGTTTCACGAACAATTTCAGGGTATAGACAATTTGATTGTACGTAGCGTTTCGTGAAATTTAAATATATTTCTTTAATGTAGTTTGTTCACTACAAACATGAATAATTTAATAGAAAATCTTATATTTAACACGCGCAAAATTTTGTTAAACCGATTTTTATTTATTTGTATCTATTTTATTTTAATAACAAGAAATTTTGAAGTCCATTGTATTGTATTTTGTTGAGTAATTACTTGTTTATTTTGTACCGATTTTATTATTATCTCAAATAATGTTATGTTTTGAATATCCTTTTTAATATATTACATGTAAAGAAAAAAAGAATTATATGAATGAATGAGAAGAAAAAATAATTATATGAACTTAAGATTCGACACGAAGTTTTGTCTTTAATTTAGTAACTTGTTCACTGAAAAAAGTATTTTGCTCCTAAACATAATATATATATGATATAATTAAATAATACTAAAATAAACATACAGTAGATTGTGTAAATAATCATCAAAATCTACGCAGAATTTACGAAAACATCACAAGACATAAATAAATCATGCGATCAAAACACTTCATCCTTTTAGAACTCGGTACGTACATGGTTGCAAAAGAACTTTAAAGTTAATGAATATGTGCCTCCTGTGAGGTTTGAACTCACGACCCCTGGTTTACGAGACCAGTGCTCTACCACTGAGCTAAAGAGGCATTATTTTGAATCGTTGAAATAACTGTACGCTATTACCAGATAAAAGAAGTAAAATATACTTTATCTATAAAGACTATATTACTAGAACTGGAATATGTATTTCATCTCTAAACTAATAGACAAATTCAGGAGAAACAGCTAGTATAATATCTTTAAAATAGACAAAGTAATAGTTCAATAATAATAATAATCTCAGGACAATTTACATAGCGCCATCTAGACCCAAGTTAAGCTAGCTAAAGCTTGTGTTATGGGCACTAGACAACTGACACAAATACATAGACACATTTTTTTCGTAAATACATACATATTATACATAAAAAATACACAAACCGATACAAACATACTCAGGAACACAAAGGTTTGTGCCGTGCGAGGAATCGAACCCGCGACCATCGGAAGTAAAGCGATGTGCTAAACCACTAGACCACCGAGGTCGTCATAACAATAACATCTATTTATATATGTAGATTGTATTAATAAAACTTTAATGAGTACCTTATCTCAAAAATTATAGACAAATTCGGGATAAACAGCTAGTGTAATATCTTTACAATGGACAAATAATAGTTCAATAACATTATGTCATTTATCATACTTATATAAGTCAAAGAATACAACTTTATTATCCAAATAAGGTGACATTAATATTGACATTATCTTGACATTCATACATTCGTAAGTTCATTTTTTATAAACATAAAAACAAATTGTTATCAATATTTATTGAATGTCACATACAAACAAACAGATTATTGTCCACATGTTCTCAAACTTATATCACACGTCGCCCACTGTGAAATTATACAAATAATAATATTCAGGGGAGAAATATAAAATACTAGCTTTTGCCTGCGGCTTCGCTCGCGTAGTAGTAAGTATTATTATTAATTAGGTGTAGTTTTTGCGGCTTTACTTTTGTTTAGCGTGTGTAAAAAATTAGGGTCTACAAAATCTAAGAAGATTTATACAAACTTTCATCCCCTATTTTATCCCCTTGGGGGTAGAATTAATAAAAATCCTTTCTTAGCGGATGCCTACGTCATAACATGACTGAAAGGTGACTGACATAGTGATCTATCAACGCACAGTCCAAACCACTGAACGGATCGGGCTGAAATTTGGCATGCAGGTAGATGTTAGGATGTAGGCATTCGCTAAGAAAGGATTTTGATTAATTCTACCCCCAAGGGGATAAAATAGCGGATGAAACTTTGTCAATTTTAAACCGATCGGGCTGAGACTTTGCATGCATAAAGCTACTATGACGTAGGCATCCTCTAAGAAAGATTTTGATAAATTCCACCCCTAAGAGGATAAATATAAACGCGAGCGAAACCGCGTGCAAAAACTAGTACCCTATAAAATTTTGTTATTTACAGATGATGCAACTCTATTAATTACATGTGACTATAATGATATCAACAAACTTCAAAATATTCTTACAAAGGCTGTTACAAAAATCGTCAAATATTTAAAAAAACATTAATCTAAAATTAAATTTTAATAAAACAAAAATTATGCAGTTTAGACAGTCAGCTTTTCTGCCAATCCAATTATATATAAAAAATATTTTATATCGCTGAACAAGGTCACATGTTCTCAAACTTATTTGACGGCGCCGCCCACTTTGAGATTAAATATATTAGTTACATTACAGTCAATGAAATATTACGTTGTACCAAAGTAGGCTTTGTAGAGAGTAGTCTGTTTGAGTACCACAGTCTCATCTATTTCAGCTGCCCAGCATTTTAAGCTGTTTTATTTGATTGTAGGGAAAGAAAAGGCAATAACATTATAGAATAAGAGAAATGACATTTTAGATGTTAGGAAAAGCAAGCCACGAGAGGTATCATATGATAACATGATGGCTGTAGTGCTGTTCATGTGTTTAGACTACGGTTAACACTTACTAATAGAAAGACAGCCAGCTTTTCTGACAATCCAAGTATATATAAAAAATTGTTTATATCGTTGAACAAAGTCACATGTTCTCTGTCACTCGTTATATACATATATCATTACATAATATAAAATAAAGTTGCTGTCGCTGTCTGTCCGTCCATATGTATGCTTAAATCTTTAAAACTACACAACGGATTTTTTTAGATAAAGTGATTCTAAAGGAAGGGTTATATATGTAATACATGTACACCCGTGTGAAGCCGGGGCGAGTAGCTAGTATATCAGATAATCGTAACCCGCTCAAGAAACTATTCACTCTTCTCGTCTGCTGCTTCCTGTAACTGTAACTGTAACAAAGTAGCTACTTTGTTATTGTTACAGGAAGATATAAGATTCTAAATCTCTTAACTATGCATTTGCATTGTTATAAGATTGTATGTGCATTCTGATAATATTTATCAGGTGTTTGTCATCCACAGATAACAGTAATGTGGCAAGTAATATACGATATACCTCAGTGAGTGTTCCGTAGTGGTATCTTTATTTATATTTTTTATTTTATTCGACAACCTCGGTGGTCTAGTGGTTTAGCACACCACTTTACTATCCGATGGTCGTGGGTTCGATTCCTCGCTCGGTACAAACATTTGTATTCATGAGTGTGATTGTTTGTATCGGTCTTGGTGTTTTCTATGTATAATAAGTATTTATTTACAAAAAAAATGTATCTATGTATTTATATAAGTTGTCTAGTAGCCATAACACAAGCTCTGTTTAACTTCGGACTAGATGGCGCTGTGTGAAGTGTCCTGAGATATTATTATTTTATTTTGGCTAGAATATGGCTATCTGTAATCAGTATAGATACTACGTATAAGCAGGTGAATTTTTGGAAATTATTGTGGGAGTATCGACAAAGTCCCCACGTTCAGCTATATAGAATCCTGTCATCCAGCTCCAGAATTTTTGCTCTCTTTAGTCACTTTTCTTTATTGACTAGAAGCTTCTGAGCCAGTTCGTTCGGGTGCATAACAATAATATCTGTATGGAATATTATACATCATTAACGCGCCACTTTGTCTGTGTCAAATTTTCCCCGTTTTAACCACACTTTTAATTCCAGCTCCACTTCTATTCGCCGCAGCTTCATGTTATATAGCCTTCCTTGATAAATGGGCTATCCAAAACTAAAATAAATTTCAGAATCGGTTTAGTAGATTACCCCCTACAACCCCACAACTTTACTATACCTCTTTATACAAAGAAATAAAATTGAAGTGTCTTTCAAATTTATAATTTCAAATTAACAACTTTTCAATAAATGCATATATAAACCGATTTAATCAGTTTAATTTCTTTGCCTATCTGTTTGTCTGTTTGTTTTTATTAATCTCTGAAACCGATCGATCGACCAAGTTAGTAATATTAATATAGATTACGACTGTAAAAAGTCATCTGCATTTGCTTTGTAGACTGTGTTTTTATTATAGGGTGCAAGTTTAGGTCGAGAAATTAGCTAACCCGCGACCTTGTTCGCTCAAGCCTTCATCCCCTATTTCATCCCTTTCCAGATATTTTTTAAGATAAAAGATAATTTATATCTTATCTTTATGATAACTGTATCTTCATGCAAATATGTGTCTATCTGTTTGTCTATCTGTTGTTACCTTTTCATGGCTAATCGGCTGATCTTAAGGTTATGAAGATAGATTATAACGTAGGCTATTTTATATCTAAAAATGCAGACAAAGCTAGTTATTATATTACCTACGTCTTCATGTACCAAAGACAAAAAAATCTACTATAAATAACTTACATTGGAAACATTAATTTTTATTTCCCAACCATCTCTAACTAATTTACTAAATAAGTGCGCGTAGATAACAAAAAGTAGCTCGTGACCATACATACATACATCTTAAGGTACACGACCTCGGGGCAACGAACTGTGACTATTGATAAACACCCCGCGTACCACGGACAAGACAGAAGAGGCTCATTAGTTTTTTTATGTCCTTTCGAGGCAACGGTATCCCGAGATTTGTCTTATGCTATAACGTAGTGTACGTTATAGCATAAGACAAATCGTAACGCGATCAAAAAGTAACGCGACTTCGTCTACATTTTTACAATAAAAGAGATCTCCTGTTACTCAATGGATTTATATTATTTTGTTTTATTCCGCTACAATTAGTAAGTGTGAGACCACAAATATTCAGTGTGGAAACTTGACTAATGAAAAACTTAAATAATATTTTTTTTTGTATTTGACGATTACAGCTTATTTGCCATTTCAAATTCATTTAAAAAGTCTACTCATTAAAATATATATTACAATTAAAAAATACTGGCCACCACAACA